TTCCTGTCTAAAGTCTAACATAGTGAAATGAACAGTCACAAAGCAAGTCATGGGCAAAAAGTGTTAACTATATACATAGAAAGAGAGATGTCTACTTGGGACTCGACCATAACACTCAAATGGAACCTTCCTATTCAGTGACACTAAAACAAACAAATACATGGGGGAGGACAGCAATTAGCACAGGCACCATGGTTATCAGGAGCATTTCTATCCTGATCTTCCAGAAAGTTTGAATTCAGTCCGCAATAGTTAGAACACACGAGTGTATGATTTGGGAAGCCAGGACATATATGTCTGTTAAGTAGAATGGGGCACAGAGTGGGTGTTTCCAGACAGTTATTCCCTTCAGCCCTATCTTAACACAGCCAGTGGTATACAGAGCTGCAGTCTAACAACAGCTAAAGACTGCATTTTGCCGACCTCTGTCATAGGTGGAAGTGGAGAAAAAGGTTTATCACAGAAGACAGATCAAACTTCCAGATATGACAGCTAAGTGAAATGCTACAGAGGGGAAAAAACAAACATGCCATGCTCTTACTTTCTCACTAGCCAAAGTTGGATCCAGGATGCTGAGCTTGATAGACATACGCGCCCTAATCATGCAATGTGTACGTTTCTTAATACCTGAGGATGTAGAGTGAGCGGCATTCCAGCAGCAGATCCAGACAGTCCTGAGGATTCTGTTCATGAACCAAACGCATCACACTTGAGGACAGTAGGGAGAGGCCTGCAATGGTGCAGCCGCAGAACTAGAAAACGGAAATGGGAAAAACTTATGGAGAAAAGAATGACAAAGAACAATGGTCCTAAAATGGGGACATGAAGTGTACTGAGACTCATCTGGGAAATGGAAGAAGCAAATGTTCAGATATGGGAATGTCAGAGAAAAGGTTGGACAAAAACTCACGTGTGCTAATACAGTACAACCCCCACATTCATGGGACATTCCCAAAGTTCACATGGTTATGCAAAACGGTAAATAATAGCAAACACTATTGAAATTAAGGNTGGAGGACCTAGAAAATGCCCAGAGAGGTCATTTTTGTCAGACATAGTTAAATAAAACCATGGTTCCATGGATATGGGGGTCATAGAGGAATCTGTTTGCAGGGGAAAATTTTTGTACTAATAGGGTTTTATCTGCACTCTGAAACAGCAATGTTCACACACACATCAGAAACTAGATCTAATCTGGAAGGGCTCAAGGTATTTTGTTTATTAACGAATAGCAATGAAAAAGCAGTTAAGACTTCTTGAGAACGGCAACCTGATCTCTGGGCATCTGTGAAGGAAATTAGTGAAGTTTTTTATCTATACCACAGCCTCAAGATTGCAAAACCAAATGATTCCTAATGTAAACATTTCCACAGGAGGAAAAGAACCAACTTATCCCTCACTTGACATTCAAGTCAAAAGGAGAGCAAGAAAATCAACAATAGACAATAGTGTCATCCCATTGTTATCCTGCAGGCTCAATAAAACACTGCCTCCTATTATATTTTTTCTTTCTTTTGCATTTCAAAGCTACATGTCTTTTAAAATAAAATATACTTTTTCTCATGTGAATTACCCAAACAACAAAATAATTGTTGTGCAAAAACTGTAGAGTGTTTATGACATTTCCATCCTCATATCATCTCCATT